AAGAAGTCATGGCTGCTGCCCTGGCTGCTGCTGCAGCCTGTTCCCTAGCTGCAAGGTTTGCTGCTTCTCTCGATGCTGCGAAAGCACGGGCTCTGTGTTCGGCACGAAGCCGTCTTTCTTCTCCCTCGTCTAGGGTCCTGAACACGTACGGGATCCTACTTGATCTTGCACGTGTTAATCAACCATCGTCAACTCTCTCCTCATCGACGTCTGATCCGCTCATGAGTTAGGCAGACTTTATCTGCACTCGAATCCCCTAATGGTATCCTACCACAGCATGTGTCTGACCGGCACCTAGTTTTCTAGAAATGGATATGTCCGGCAAGTCCCCTAGTATACCGATCAAGTGGCATGCCTTCAACATTCACACAGGTTGTCTACATAGTCTAAATGCACTTTGACTTGTTCACTTACAGCAGCATTAGTTAGAACTGGCTATGGTAGCATACAACAGTCCTACACTAATCTGTCTGTGAGGTGTTAGCAGTCTGTCCACCAACTAATCAAAGGTACAAAAGACAATGTAGCAGATGTATGATTGATGGGTATGGTTGTGTATACAGTTGAGCACCAATTAGAACCTACCCTCCCCTCCATCCAACATACCGAACAACATCATTGAGCGAGTAGTGTCTTCGTTTGTGAATCGGCCCACCCTTGTGCCCAAGTTGTCACTGAGTAAGCCAGCCCAACCACTCTTATTTACCCTCGTACGGCGACGAGCCTTCCTGTCCATGTGATCTGGCTGATCAGGAGGAATTTATAGAGCGCCCCCATCTCTTCAGGAATTATTTAACGTCGCAGTCAGGACGACGATCACAGCCAGATTCACAATGAACTCCCAACCAAAAATATTTATAGACGGTCTGGTAAGCGTCTGTCATGGGCTGGCACACCCGGAGGAACTTCTATTAGCGCAGCAAGTGCCAAACAGGACAGCAGCCGTCGCATGCGTGCACTACTCCCTGTGGGTTGGGATGGTGACCGTGACCCAAGTGCTTCGACCAGGGCCCTTCAGAGGCACCGCCCTTTCTCCTTCCAGTATGCTTCTGGGAAGATTATCGTCTCTCAAGGTAGCGCACTCACGACACCTCACCAAAAGAGAGGACTCTCAAGTTGGACTCACTTCCTCACGGTAAGAAGAGATTAAGAGAGTAGATAAGGTAAGAGAACAACGTACCGGGAGATAGCTGCCCCCAACCACAGATTTCTCACCAATTGAGCTGATGTTGCATTTGATGACCGGTCATGACCTCGGTACCACCCACAACGCAATGCAGTGCCACCTGAGTCCAATACCACATCAGCATGCTCTCATCATCAATCAAACATTCCGCTGTATCCCATGGCATACAATGCCGGAATAGCCTTCCGGTGCACCCCTGTCTACCCAGGGCGTGCACCTATCAATGGCCTGATGTCACAAGTACAAACTGCGAACAAGCATCATCAACGCACCAAGTCTGTATAACGCCAGCATGCCGAAGGTATGTGGCGATCAAACCAGCTCCGATACCAAATTGCAAGGAACATGAGTATGGACAAAGCACAGAAATCCAGAAAGCAAAATCACACTGAAGTCCAAGAATTCAAAGCCAAAGCAGATAGCACATGGAACCGAGTAACCATCCAATTGAGAATGATACAGAAGAATCGTGAGTCAATGTCCATGCCCATCAGGGCAACACCAACAGCATAACCCAAATGTAGCTCTCTCTTGTGAATGGCGCCAGGCGCCCTATCTACTCTACAGCCTATCCTACTACTACAGCAATGAACAGCAACCAGACAACTTGACTACCAGCGAGTGATGATGTCAACACCAATGCCGACCTCCACCTTCACCAGGTATGTGTCCTCTTCCCCACACTCTCCCTTGTTACCCACACAGCGCCCTTCACCTCCGAAGTACCACCTTCGCCCTCACCTCCCCTGCACCTTCATGCGGCCCGGCTATGGCCGCCAGTGCCCTGCATGCAGGCAGCGCCCTACCGCCTAGCGCTGGCCTGCTTGCTCTTAGCACAGCACTGCCTTGCACAGCGCAGCACACTTGCCTCCGCGCAGCGTGCCCGCAAGTGCCAGCATTGGCCAAGATCCCCGCTGCCTCGCCCTGCTTGCCTATATGCCAATGCAGCGTGTGGGCGGCCTCCCTTCAGCCTGTGACCGGGACCCAGAGGCTGAAGCCAACTCGATACAGTTGGGCCCCGGGGCAGTGCAGTTGCGCCTCTTCCATCAAGGGCTGCGGCCAGATTCAGATAGTGGGCCGATTTCCCTTTGGCATTTTCGGCCTCTCTTCCCAGCATGCATTGTCGGCCTCACGTTCGAGTGCCCAGGGCCTAACCAACTCAGAGGCCCTGGGCTTTCAGCATTTGCTGAAATCCGAGACTCGGTGCACTCCAACCAACTGGCGTGCTGCAACTGTATGAACCCCACTTCGTGAAATGTTGGCACAGAGGGCTCTTGTTGATTTGCTGGCCCGCCTTCACTTAGGGCGGGCACGAGGCTTGCTAGGGCCTTAGCCCAGAAC